TCATATGTGTAGGTGAGGGCTTTTAATTAGGTCTATGCCTTGTCCCCTCAAGAGTCAGCTCCTTGACCTGGCCTCACTCTTGAGTGACCTTATATGGGTAAGAAAAATATACAGGGAAAAAAAAAAGTCAGTCTTGCTTCATATTGAAATTGAGGAAAATTTTTATTGTCTTCTTCCTGCTCATCTGTATGTTTTAATCTTTCCACAATGAAAATGATATCCTATTCATATAGGGCTGTGTTCTGTTTTTTGGTTTTCTTTTTTTTTTTTTTTTTTTTTTTTTTTTTTTTTTTTTTTTTTTTTTTTTTTTTTTTTTTTTTTTTTTTTTTTTTTTTTTTTTGGTCATTGTAGTTATTTTAAGCTGTACATGCTAAAAGTAATGAAATCTCAAAGGCCTAAGAGAAAGTGTGTGTGGGCCTGAGCATGTTGAGGTCGGATCAGTAAAAATGGCCTGGGGGCTCTGAGATACCCACTCACTGGGACCCCTTCACTACCTACTATAATGGTATGCAGGAGGCAAGTGGAGGTGATACCAGGCAGGGAGTCCATGAGGGTGAGGAGAGAAGAGTTTCTTTGTGGGGCCCAGGCTCCTGTGAGAGTCCTCAAGGAGTTCCTGCCAGGTGACCCCACAGGGGCAAGAAAGTTACAGAGCACGTATGACTGAAGCGGACTGGACAACACCTTGGCCCTCTGTGCATACTTGGTAATGACCTTGGGCCTCACAGAAAGGTAAATGCCCAGCTCCTTCTCAGAGAACAAACTGGGCCAAGTTGCGGGACAGAACCTGAGAACCCTCTGTGAACTGGAAGGGGAGACCCTGGTTTCTCTAGGGAGGCCCAGCTCAGATTGCCACAGGGAAGGACTTAGGCTAGTCTGAGTGGAAAATAAGAAGATAAGAAATAAAAACACACACTCTATCAAGTAATCCTGGACAAGGATAGTTTATCACAGTTCGTTTTACCAAAATAAAATATTATATTACGCTTTTGTGCATTTTATTCCTGTCACTCAACAATACTTAGTGGAAATTCTTTCAACACAATTCCTATAGTTTTATTTCATTTTACATGACTGTATAATATTCTTTGGTGTGCATGTGCTAGTATTTATTCTTTTTGTTTCCAGTTTTTTGCTACAATTAACAATGCTGCAACACACATCTTTGAGTATTACAAAAAAAAATCCAGATGTTGTAGGAACAGAAAGTTGCTGATGGCAACCACTGTGGCAGGTGTGCTGAGAAGCTCAGCTAGCCAGACCTCCCTTCAGCATCTGCACAAAAAGGGTCAGGATTTAAAAGGACCAGGGTCCCTCCCTGCTGATCAAATCTTTTATAGTCGAACCATTCATTTACTCATGCAATCACTCAACACAAACTAATTGAGGACCTAGATGTGCAAGCACTGACCTAAGTACTGTGACTTTGACCACGAAGAGGGTGGATAAGGCTCCACCTCTCAAGGAGCAGACATTCTAGTGGGGAGAAGCAGATGATAAACCTACAAGTGGATATCAACTCCATGCATTGAAAAGTTGCAAAATGCTTAATAAGAAAAAATATTAACACTCTGTTGCAAACATAAGGAATATTCCTGAGAGTCCCATGTATAAACAGTGTTTAAAGCACCCTCCAGCTCTCTGCCTTTGACCTTTCCTGCCCTGTAACTTCTGCTGTTGCCACCCTCCTTTAAAAAACAAAAATCAATTGGAAAGCATCCAGGTTCCCTCCATCCTGGCTGGAGTAGCATCTGGCTCTGCACAAGCTCCAGTGGAGCCTTAGCAGGCAACACAGCTGCTCTGCACCTTAGTTTTCCCCTCCAGCACTAAACCATTTGGAGTACTTCCAGCCTGGGAGCCCAGGATCCTCTTTTTGGGTTTGGCGTTGTTGGCCAGCACTGGCCATGACTATGGGGAATAGCCTGGGAATCCCCTTCCTCTCCTCAGCAGCCCCCCACTCTGAATTCCTCTCCTGGGCCCCTCTGGAGGTTGCTAGAACCCCTTCCCAAAACATTGCTATACCCCAGGGGTTCCCACACTTCCATCGCCCCTTGCCCCCTCGGTGGGTACAAATCTTCCCATCTCTTCAAAACTTTTATTGACTTAGTTAATATTTATAAGTGATATTTTTATAACTTATTATAAAATGCATACATTAATGTTTTAATTTTATATACAGTTTAGAATATTTTACTGTTAAGATTATACTGATTAATATTTTGATATTAAAAATATAATTAAAAATACATTTCTTTTAAAGGAAACTTTATATCACTAACATAAATGGAAAACTGATGTCACTTCTCTAAGTGGAATGTAGCTATAGAAATAAATATAATGTAAATCAAACAATGGTCCTAAATTCTACCAGACTAATGTCTGATAGAAGCTCTGAGCCCCAGGCTTATAGGCCTTTATTAAAAAGTGGTATCAGGAAGTGTTAGAAGATGCTGTAGATGGCACCAAATGGAGACTTTTTTCCTTGAACTATTCAGGACCAAAGAGAATTAAGAACTAAATCACCCTCTCCGATAGAATTTTTGTTCTGCCCATGTTTGCTGCCCAACTCAACCCTTGTGAGGCAAGCACGACAGGGACTATTGCTCCCATTTTCCAGATGAGCAAAACTGAGATTTGGAGGAACAACCCACAGAACCACTCATCTCCAGGGCCCTCTCCTCCCGGAAGCCCTCCCTACCTCCTGGATCCAGGTGAAAGGCCTCCTTGGTCCTCCCAAAGACCCTGCACTAAGGCTCATCTAGGCACTCACTGGTAGTACAATGGGATGCACTATGAGACCCTTTCTGTAAACTGAGGTTGATGTAGTGTTCTGTGCCCAAGGCACTGGGACCCCAGGGCCTCCCGCCTCTGGAGATAGGCTTTCCAGGGCTGCATGCAGAGGATAAGCCAGGCTATTTTCATCACTTCCTTCCTCCCACTTAAGCAGTGGTCATCATCGGCTGCCTTACATAGAACTGCCACCTCAGCCTCAACCAGAACGGTTCAGGCCACAGAAAGGGGTACCCAATTACAGGCCTCGAAGGTAAGTGGCCCTCCTTATTACTCAGCACTACCTCTCCTAGGCCTCTCCTAGGAAGAAGTGGGGAGGCCAGGTGTCAAGTCCTACCTCTATGCCTCCTTCTGCTCTCCCCTCCAGAAGACAGCTGTGAGCATTTGCTGTAAGATACCTGCTCCTTGGCTAAGTCAAGATTTGTTGGTTTATTCAATAAATAGTAATTGGAAGACGGGGAGGAGGGTCCAGTGGGGAGTCTTAGGAAGGGGAAACAGTCATGGAGGGAAGGCAGTGAATCAGGCAGAAACTGGGGCCCACGAGACCTGAGTATGAGATTGGTTTTTGACACAAGTCACTCTCTCTTTCGTGAGCCTCAATTTCCCCAATTCCAAGCATTAGCCTAGATGAGTGGCTTTCCAGAGGGACCCTCTTCTGGGTTCCCTTCCGTGTCCCCACCTCAGCATCCTCGTCCTGCTGTTTTCTACACCAAGTACCATGTGAAGGTTCACTTAGCCATGGCAAGCTGTTTGGAATTGATGGGATGAGGTGTGGTCTGTGAAGTCCATACAATTGGCCTGACCCCAAGCTTAGGCATGGAAGGTAGGAGCAGCCTTCCCCACGCTCTGGGGGCCAAGGGCCAGGACTGTAAATCATGTAGCAGGGATCTGTTCCCCCCACCTCCTGAGACCCCATCTCCTTTCCAAGAATGTGCTTACCCTTGCTCCCTTCCCCCACCTCAGCAACCCTCACTGTCCTGCCTTCTAAATGTCCAATGAGGGTCAGCCAGGCTCAGGTTGGGTGCACTTCACTTCAGTCTTCATCACCACAATTTCACAGATGAGAAAGCTGAGGCCTGAGAAAAAAATTGTCCCTTGTCTCAGGTCAGATCCCACTGCTCCCACAGTACCCACTGGCCCTTGGGATGGGGTACAGGCTGCCAGGCCCTTGCTCACCTCACGGCCATTCTCCCTACAGCAAGCTTGTACAATGCCTGCCTGGGGGGCCCTGTTGCTGCTCTGGGCCACTGCGGAGGCCACCAAGGACTGCCCTGCACCATGCACCTGTCAGGCACTGGAAACCATGGGGTTGTGGGTGGACTGCAGGGGGCAGGGTCTCACGTCCCTGCCTGCCTTGCCAGCCCATACCCGCCACCTCCTGCTGGCCAATAACAGCCTTCGATCCCTGCCCCCGGGCGCCTTCGACCACCTGCCCCAGCTGCAGACGCTTGACGTGACACAGAACCCATGGCACTGCGACTGCAGCCTTACCTACCTGCGCCTCTGGCTGGAGGACCGCACACCCGAGGCCCTGCTGGATGTCAACTGTTCCAGCCCCAACCTTGCCACCATCTATCCACTGGGCCAGCTCACAGGCTATGAGCTGGGCAACTGTGGCTGGCAACTACAGGCATCATGGGCCTACCAAGGGATCTGGTGGAATGTGGCACTGGTTGTCGTGACCACAGTGGGCCTTGCTCTCCTGGCTGGCCTGCTGTGCACTGCCACAGAGTCTCTAAACTGAGCCCAGGTTCCCTGGGTCACCCTCAAGCCAGGCAGCCAGGCCCTCCCTAGACTCCAACAGCTCTGATCAGCCAGGATCACCAATAACTCAAAATAAACTGACTGCTCAGCCACTTTATCCAAGCTCAAAGATTTTCTTTTCCCTCTCAGTTCCTTCTGGAAACCTGAGTTCATTTTGTTATATCAGATATCAACTGGGGCTTCTCTGTCCCCCAAGTTCCAAGTAAAATGCGCTCCCCCCAACAATTCCACAATCTGGACATTTAGAGCCTTCCCCCAGTGCCTGCCAGGTCCCAGGACTCTGATTCTCACACCCTCCTCTGTCTACCAGGACCTGCTTCCTACATGGGCTGTCCCATACAGCTCAGGACAATTGCATATCAATATTCAGTGCCTCTCCAAATTTCACACACACACACACACACACACACACACACACACACACACAAAACTTGCTTTCACAACACAGCAGTGAACAGACAGGAGGTAATGAAGACCCTGGATGGCAGGAAGGTAGAGAGCATGTTCATCTCTGCAATTCATTCACTGAAAAAGGCACATCACCATTCCCAAAATGGCCTTTGGCCACTGTCTGGCCCTGAGGCCACTTGTACTCACCTGGCTTCACCCTATCTTCTCCTGCACTAGTTTCTGTCTTCTTTTCTTCCTCTCTACCCTTCTTCTTCAGAAACAAAACATCAAATTACTCCTTTTCTCATGGAAACAACTTCCTTCCAAGTGCTTACATCAGAAAACTGCAAACTCTGGGGTCTCACTTCTACCCCATTCAATAGTTACCAAATTCTTCAAACAAGTCACTTCTCTCCATCAGAGGAATTCTGGTGCCAGCAGTTAAGATAATGAACTTTTCTCCATCATACAAGATAACATTTACAGGTCCATTACCAGCCAACCCAAATCCAAATATAATTATACCAAGGTCCCTCCCTCAAGGAGTTCCATGTGATGGGCCTGTGGCTCAGAGGGTACCCACAAGGAAGGCCAAATGGGCCTAGAGTGCCACTGAAGGGCACTGACCCACAGAGATGAGACTAGAACAGGAACCCCAAACTCAGGGTGAGGGATGGCCAGCAGAGACTAGTAGAAACTGTGGCAAATCAGAGAGCCCATGTTCCACCCAAAGAGGTCCAGCCAAATGCTGATATGTGGAGATGTGGACACAGGTGCCCAGTATTCCATTCTTCCAGAAATATGGGAAATCTAGATCTTTATGTGAAATCTCTGAATTATTCAAGTGTTGGCAACTAAATTAAAAATAATAATATATATTGATAGGAGAAATATAACATATTATCAACTAGATGGAGTCCACAGGATGAGAGTCTGTAATTTGTGCATTAGGAATCAACTGTAACACTGCTGCCTAATGAGAACAATGGTAACAGCTGGCATCTACTTATTGGGCACATGTTATGTGCAAGGCCCCATATGGAACTCCTCACATGAGGTCATTTTCCTGTACCCTGCGAGGAAGGTACTGTTCCCCTGGCCGTGTATGGAGAAGAACACAGGCTCAGGGCCCCCAACAGTCTCTTCGTTGGCATGGTCTCAGATAGGCCCTCTTCCACATCTGAAAAGTGCTCCCTTGAACACTTCCTGGGCCCCCTAGAACTAAGGTTCTTCAGCATGGAATGCCCCTAGATTCTGCTCCTTCATAAGGCCAACATGTGCAGCCACAGGTCTAGCAAAACAATGATTACAGGCCTTGATTCTGTCTACCAAATAGCTTGGTCCAGTAAGAACCTGCCAAGAGTCTGTGCAGCACAGCATCACCAGTGCAGATGACTTCCCTGAGAGTGAGAGGAATGAAGAGAGCTTCAGCAGCTGGGCAGGGATTTCCCAAGGGGATAAAAGATTGACAAGAGATCCCCAGAGAAACTGGGAAGTTGTATTCACCATCTCCATCATTCCCATTGTCTCCATCCCAGGCCAGCAAGGCTGCCATCAGAGAGCCACCTGCTCTAAAGCCACCAACCCCAACATCAATGCCTCCCACCACCACAACCAACCATCCCCTGCCAGCCACCACTGTCCCCTTTAGGACCAGAGTCAGCCATACAGTCAGCTCCCCATGACCACCAACACACTCTCCCCACTCCTCACAGCCATTAACACCATGACCACCACCCTTGGGACCCATCACAGCCTGTACACCAGCCTCACATCTGCCATACCATTTGTTCTCCCTATCACAGCCATGGACATCAGCCTCATGAGTCAACACTGCCCCCCATTGCCATTCTCTCACCTCTGCTGTCACCACTAGTGCCAAACAAATGTAGACCTTATCCCCATTATAAGCAAAATACCAGCTCTGTCAGTGCCATCAATCTATCCCAGTCACCATGACAGCATCCTCATGATCATCTCCTTCATGAGTATTTTCAAATCCAGCTACACATGGAGAACTTGCCAAGGTAATTTCTACTAACTACTATGACAACCACCACACCTTGCTTACCCCAACTGAGGTTTGCTCCCCTTCATACCCCTATGTAGTCAATTGTTCACCAGGAGGCCTCCCATGGGGCTCCTGGCTCCTGCTAAGCCTGTTCTCTAGTACCTGCTTAGAGCCCTCTGCTAGCCTCCTGTCTTCCTGCAGCTATTGGGCAAGTAGAGATAGCAAAAAGGAACACACAGATGTTCCTGGCCAGGCCTAGAAATGGTATAGATGAACTTCACAAGCAATTGTTATCTCAAGCCCAGTCACTGGTACCACCCTAACTACAAGGGAGGTGTGAAAACATGCTCTTCCTCTGAGTCCAGTAACAGATGGCAGGTGGGTATATGGCCATTGTCGATCCCAGATGGTCTATTCTAAGGTAATATGTACCTGATCAGAAACAGGACATGCTATAGAAAGGACATTTTGTGAAGCAGTGGGCACTCTTAGGGAGCACATGCTGAATCTTGGCCCTGAGCCACAGCCAGACCCAGCCCCTAACACAGTGCTCATCTCCTCTTTTTTTTACATATACACTTACCCACACCTCCTGTGAGCACAAGTGCGCACACGAACGCTCGCACACACACGCAGTCCCCCGAGGACTGCATGCCGGCCCAACCAGGACCCTCACCATCTTCAGCCCCTGATGATAGTAAATTCTCTTGTCAAGCAAAGAAGGCACTCCAGCCCCAGTGCATGTGCCTGAGATAGCAAAGAGCAGAAGATGGAAGGTTCTGCCCTTGCTAGGCTCTGCCCAGGTTGAGGGACCAGTGAGTCCATGTGACCAGGGCTGGGCAGCCACTGAAGTATTGTAGTTGGAGAATATGCTCAGTATGATTTCAGTTCTCCTAAGTTTCTTGAGGCTCCAACATATGGTCTATCCTTGAGAATGTTCCCTGTGCATTAAATAAGACAGTATATTCTGATGTTCTGGGATGAAAAGCTCTGTAAATATTTATTATGTCTGTTTGGTTTAATGTGTCATTTAAGACCAATATTTCCTTAATGGTTTTCTGTTTGCATGATCTAGCCATTGCTGTCAATCGGGTATTTAGGTCCCCTACTATATAATTGTGTTTTTGTCAGTTTTTCTCTTTAATTCTGTTAGTAGTCACTTTATATATTTTGATATTCCCAGTTTGGGTGCATGTATATTAATAATTGTTATGTCTTCTTGATATATCATCCCTTTATCATCATAAAATGACCTTTGTCTCTTATTAACATTATTTATCTTGAAATCTATTTTGTCTAGTGTAAGTATGGCTACACCTGCTTTTCTCTGGATGCCATTTCCTTGGAGTATCATTTTCCATGCTTTTACTTTGAGTCTGTTTACCTTTGCAGTATAGATGTGTCTCCTGAAGGCAGCATATGGTTGGATTTTGTTTTCAATCTACCCCTCTACTCTGTGCCTTTTGATTGGTGAGTTTAGTCCATTTACATTTAAGGTGATTATTGATACATGAGGAATTTCTAAAGCCACTTTATCTTGTTTTCTAGTAGATCTGTGTTTCTATTGTTTCTTTTCCCTTGTATTTCTGTCATTTTAGTTTTGTGATAGTCTAAAATTTTTTCTTCATTTTCCTCTTTTTTGTTATATGTTTCAGTTCTAGATTCTTGTTTTGTGGTTATCATTAGGTTTATGCAAAAAAAAAAGTTTTATATGTACAATAGTGCTTTTTCTTCTGATTATATCTTATCTCCAGTCACCTGTGCAAATTCGGTCCTTTTTTCCCCTTACATATTATGTTTTTGTTGTCATAAATTATTCCTTTTTGTGTTGTGCATTCATTTCCAAATTGCTGTAGCTATTGTCATCTTTTTAAAAATAATGCTTTTGCCTCCTTACACCTTTATGTTATATTTAAGTGTTTAATACCCTATTCTGAACAAGAATCGCAATTTCCTGCTTCAGTCTGTCTGTTAGTCATCTTCTCACAGTTTTGTATCCTTTTGTCTTTTTGTTTCAGGTAGAAGAGCACCTTTCAGCATTTCCTGTAATGCAGGCCTTGTGGTGGTAAATGCCCTTAGCTTCTGTTTGTCTGTAAAACCTTTATTTCTCTTTCATATCTAAAGGAGAACTTTGCTAGATATATTATTCTTGGCTCTTTTTCAATATTTTTAGTGTTTGATTCCACTCCCACTGAGCTTGCAGAGTTCTGCTAAAAATTTCCATGATAATCTAATAGAGTTTCCTTTATAGGTTACCATCTTCTTTTCCCTGGCTGCCTTGAGAATACTTTCCTTGTCATTAAATTTTGACAGCTTTAATATAATGTGCTTGGAGAAAGCCTTTTTGGATTGAGATAATTAGGTGTTCTGTTTGCTTCTTGTTTCTGAAGATCCAGTTCTTTTCAAACGTTTGAGAAATTCTCAATTATTTGTTTGATTAGGCTCTCTGTTCTCTGATTCCTCTCTTCTCTTTCTGGTATATCTATTACTCTTATATTGCTCTTTCTAATAAAGTCAGATCGTTCTTGTAGTGTTCTTTCATTTTTTTCTACTCTTGATTTTCTCTTTTATTCTACCTG